ACAATAGCCATATTGCTTAGTCCATGGTCTTAGATAGACCCAATGGCTTTAGAGCTGTTGATGTAGATGCAGAGGGCAAAGCTAGAGCGATGACAGACTTTATGGAGAGAATCAGCTCCCAAAGCATAGCCCCTGGGATTCTGTGCTAAAACCATGCCAACCACTGTAGAGAAGAAACAGTAATGGAAATATTATCAAGCCCTGGCAGAGATAATGCTTCCGGATTATGAGAATTGCCCATTATGATTTGGATTCTAATGAGCCTTCTAATTCAGAACTGGACATGTGCAGTGATCACATCCTGGTACATCCAATTATAAAACCAAGTAGGACCAGAGGCTATCGCTATGTGGCTTGAGCAGCCTGACCATCCTTATCACTCTGAATGGACACAACAGCAGCTCTCATCTCACACCTGTGACTATGTGAGAACTTCAAGTTCTGTATCTGGTCATATATTTTGTATTTACAGTCCCTAGATACTGGCCAGTGGCCTAGCTACCTACTTAGGAGTTTTAAATGGAAAGAGCTAGAAGTTTGAGACATACTGGAGTGCAAATACACTAAGAAGAGTTTTGTGTTATGTATTAACAGCTATCATGAAGGGGCATTGACCCACCAAGTAGACAATTTGGCTTGGCCAGCTGACCTGACTAACACTGCCACTGATTATCTCAGAATTAGCATAGGAGCATGGTAGCAGAGATAGATATCTCAGAAGGGAATCTGCCTCATGGTAAGGATGGCATAGACCTGCAACCCAAATATTAGATCATCTCGAAGCCAGACTCATAGAATGCAGAAAAACCTGTGATTCAATTATGCACTCTACAGTAGGAAATCTGAGAGATGGTTTTTCATAGCAACCACGGGCTCATTCGTATTGTCCAGATCTACAGCTGCACACAAATGGCCCACTGACACAGCTATCATGTTCTAAAACCAGGCACCATGTTGACATTGGGATGTACTTCCCAGTGTTTTGAGAAATGACTAAGTGTGAATGTAGGTAGGGCTGGACCTGTGGGCAGGGCTGGACCTGCAGGATGCTAACCTTTTCTAAAGGGCAATTTTGGTTTGAACCCTCCCCACAGCTTGGATGAAATCTGCATAGAACTGCTTTGCAGTTTAATAAATTTGTTTCCTATTCTTTCATCCTTTTTCTCCTGCCCTCTATGGTTTTTCTTCCCAGGAGAATGACCTGATTTATGGTATGACAGTATTCCTCTTTGTACCTTCTCACTGATACTTCCCTTAATAAATAAATCTCTTACACATAGAATCTCATCTTGGCATCTGTTCCTTGGAGGATCTGGACTAACACAGATGGCTTGGACATGTGCTGGTGGGTGTCTAAGAAAGAATAGCAAGTATGCCAATCCTGCGTGCTGAGTGTGGTCAGCTTGCAGTGGCTGCCAGGAGAGTGTCGAGAAGTATTCTAGCATTGTATCTGGTCCATTCACAGTGAGTGCAAAGGAATGGGTCATGATCTTTTACTGGTCACTACTGCTGAACTGAAATGTTCCACAAAGCTCCATTACTAAGGGAAATTGTACATCCATGTGTGGTACTGCATGCCTGTAATTTCACAACTTGGGAGGCCAAGGAAGGATTGTTGTAGGTTTGAGACCATCCTGGGCTACCTGCTGAGTACAGGGCTAGCTAAGACTTCACAGTGTGACTGGGGTCCTGTCTCAAAAAAGCAAGGAGCTGGGGACGTAGCTCACTTTAGGTAGAGTGATTGTTTAGCATGCATGAAGCCCTGGTTCCAATCCCCAGCATTGTATAAAAGCAGGTATGGCTGCATGCCTACACTAAAGAGATGGATGCAGATTAATTAATATCAGAAGCTCATGGTCATTCCTACCTATATAGTGAGTTTGAGGCATCCTGAGATAAGTGAGATCCTGTTACGGAAACATGACAAATCAAAGCCAGCCCAGGAAACAAATTTAAAAAGGAGGAGGGCCATGATTAGAGAGCTACTGTATGTAAAACTTTTGTAATGGAAAGGGATATCCTTAGTGATACTGAATGATTAATATTGGTGGTTAATGAATAACAATTTCATTAAAACTACATTAACTATATACTATGTGATTATTTATGAACAGTAATAATGCCTAATGATAACCATCAATTGTTATCATCTCATTAATGAGCCTAAAGTGACACCTAATGGAAGAGATTATGTGGCTGAATTATATAAGCCCTAATAGCCCACATTGAAAGATGCTAGGTCAATGGAATCTAGAAAAAAATCAAAGTGCAAGGACTTGTCAGTGTTCTTCCTCTTGAGCTGCAGGGACTGTGTTCTGATGAGCTGATGTGAACCTCTCTTTCTATGGAGGATTGCCACATGGAGCCACCATGACAGGATGCTACCCATGAACATTACTCACTCTCCTTTATCTGATTTTATATTTGTCAAGGAACATCCTGATGTTCATTGTATTTGAGCAGAATTTTCTACTGAAGAGAGGATATGCTGACCAATTGACTAAGGAATTCTAGTCTCTTTAACATCCATTTATTTTCTTTAAAATGTCATTTCTAAAATTAAAATAAGATTTATCATAAAATAATTATTGGTGAGTAGGAAGGCAAAATTCAAAGTCTGTTTCTTAGGCGCAGCTTCTTCCAATTTCCCCAGGAGTAATACTTTTGTTGCTGTTGTTGTAAATTATTTCATTTCTCCACTGGATATCTGGCACTCACAATATTTTCTTCATGACCTTGTTTAGAGGAACTTTCTTATGAATTCATTCAGAATGAACTAACAAAACCGAGCTTGTAAATACACAAAGCTGGGAGCCAATCCCCCCATTCAGAAGTCTTTTTTCATTGCATGTCTTGTCTTTTGTTAAGTCTTTTATGACATCAAACACTATGTTTTGTAAAAAGGGGAAGCTTTGTCTACCATTCACAGACTACAAGACATCAATTTGCAAAGAATTATGTGTAGTGCTGGGCTCCCTGTGTTTGCTTTATTCAGCCTGATGAAATACCACTCGTTTTTGTGTTATTTGTATTACTTTTTACATCCGTCCCTCCATCCAAGGATGAAGTAGAGTTCAAGGAAGACAGTCTTAGTTCTAAGTGTGAATTTATACAAAGATTCACTACAGCAGCACAATATGATAACAAACACAGGGGAAGAAGTCTGTGATGACCTAGATAGGCTCACTCTGTTTGTTTCTTAGGATTACTGTCTCTTCTCAGACTCAAGACAATCCCTGATGTGAAAAACTAGTTACCTAAGATGAAAAAGCCTGGCCTTTCAGGGTTCAGAATTTGATGAGATTTTTCCTTGATAGAGAGCATCTGAATTTCTTTCAAAAAGGCTTCTCTGCAGGGATTTAGAGGAAAAAAATCTTGAGCTTAAGATATGTAATAAAATTATTATTTTAGGATCAGAAAAGACCATGTCCCCAAATATTTTTGAAGCCTATAAATCGACTCTTAAATCCTTGAATCAAAGTTTTGTTTACAGAGAAACTGATTTTTTAAAAGTTAGATGAGTTTTATTAATTTGCATTAATATTTTTGAGGTTCTGAGGGTTGAATCTAGGGACTCATCTGTGCTAGGTAAGCCATGGTTTCATTAAGTTAGAGCACTCTTCCCAAAGATGATAATTCTTTTGATGGCACAAATATTGTAGTGAACATTAATACAGAAATCTAGTTGACTACAGGGTTCAGGCTGGGAATCTTTTCATATATAAAAAAGCCTTTTTTTTTTTTTACCCCCACAAAAGCAAGAAATTTAGTTTCTTACTCCTTCATGTCATCAGGTATTACCAGAAATAGTCTCTAAAACATTCGTATACTTGTATATTTTGTAGTACATGGAATGCTGTACCGTAAATGGGTGCTATGTGGTAGAAACACCTCTGGAGAGGCTGTGATTTAGGAGCACTGTGTTTACTCAGGGGAGTCAGAGGGACAAGCTTCTGACTCTCTAGGTTCTAGTTTCTGATGTCAGAAGCCAGATGCGAGTTGATAGCTATCTGAGATGAATGAATGTTAAACAAAGAACCTCAGTGGTACAGGCATGTCATAGCTATCTGTGATGAATGAATGTATAACAAAGAACTTCAGTGGTACAGAAATGTCATTTCAGTCGCCAGATCGCCTGGCTAGACTCACAAGCTTGAAACCTTTATATTTGATGTCTGTGACTCTTGGCAAGGAGCTTTAGTAATTTGCTTCCATTTTTTTCTTTTCAAAATCTAATATCTCTAGTGGTTAGTAAGACATAAGGTTGGAATGCAAATCTGCATATGGCTTTAGTACCAAATTTTATCTGACTTGGGAGACATGCTCTCTGATTTTATGGAGATATTAGTTGTTTCCCTTGTACTAGAGTTCTCAGTGTAGCTTGCAAAGTTGAACGTCTCATGAGACCATCAATCATCATGTGTGTCTCTATTATCTGTTCTGATACATGATGTCAGTTTGTTCTTAGAAATTATAATTTGATTGTTTCTATCCTTACTATCATACTTGAAGAATGAGTTTTCCTTCAACGTTTGCATTGCAGAAATTGAACCCGAGGCCTCTTGCGTGCTAGACAGGAACTCTGCCACCAACCCATATTTCAATATCACAACCCCCACTTTAATATGGCTCTGGAGGAGTGAGTCCTTTGAGCATGGTCTGGGATGAAATAAAGACTTGGAAGGTGCACTCACTTTCAATGCAAATGTTTTCTTCTGGTTCAAGCCAATGGTCAATTTCCAATAAACGTCTAAAACAGACAAAGGCACCATACGGGTAATACACTTGGTCTTTTCAACATACTTACTTTTAGATCTGACAGGGCTTCATTTTATGGGTATCATCTAAACATGGTTGCAGAAGTTAGACCAATTGGATTTAAATTTCTAGAGACAACATCACTTTGCAGGCACAAATGAATAATGAAATCAACAGAGGGTGGGATCAGCATTTGGGGCTCAGTGTGACTCGGGTGAGTTCTGAAAAATAAGAATCCAAACTAACGACACATATAAGCCAGTTTATTGGATTGTCAGTGATACTTTGAGACAAATTCAAGTTATTTTATTTCACTTCATATAAACAGAGGAAGGGAGGGAAGTTTTGAATTTCAAGCTTTGTTCAGCATGTGTGCAGTTAGCATCCACAAAAGCACCATTGGATCATGGAGGAGTTAGCACCACAGGAGGTTAGGACCTAACTGTGAACATGCATCACTGAAAAACTTGGAACATGAGAACTGCATTAGTATGTGTTATGATTCATTATAAACAATACAAGGCAATTTCTGACTTCTTTTCATACAGTACAATACAGTCACAACTGATGAGAACCTTTGAAATACAATACAGGACAAAAACACCTTGTACCCTGTTAACACTAAAGCAGTTACAGATTTTTTTAAATGTTTCTTATATGAGACAGCGGATTGAAATGACCCCCCTCAAAATTTAAATTCATAGCTATATAGTTACATGATCTCTTAAGAAAGTATTTTCAAGTTTACTTGTCTTCTCCATCAATGCTGACAAATAGTGATTTGGAAACTGACAGGCTTAAAGATAAAGAACCCTACTCCTCTCTGCCCCACACCAAGCAAACCCAACTGAGTTGAGCAGCCCGCCAGTGTGGTGGAGGGCTTTCTGCATAAGGTCAGTTTGAAATGATGCCAATGGCGTTGGTACCTGTCTTCCCTTCCGTGCAGGAATGCCAAGTACAGAAGCCTTGCACTGGTGATGAGCTTCGGTTCATTTCTTTCACCGAATGCCTTTATTCTGGAGTGGAATATAAGGGAGTTAGTCCTTAGTCCTCAACTGTTTTTGTAGTGTCATAGGGCTGTTTCTTATGCTTGGGCTGATAACAGTGAAAAAGGTTGAGATCTCTCTGGATTTAGGGTAATTGTGAGCTAAAGCAAAAATATTAATTTAAATTTAGCAAGTAAGAAATTTTAAAGGGTGTCCCACTATTTTCACAATACACACCCACTACTAATATAACTGAAAACCTTTCTGGCAGAAAGCATGTAACAAACCCTCCAGTTTTAGTCTAGGCCAATTTTGGAAAATGAAGATACTGTATAAGAAATGTGCAATAAATATTGACACAGGTATATTCAGATCTCATTGTATTGATGCAGTGGAAAATGTATTTTTACTCACCAAGAGAAGAATATACCTGGAAATACCTATGCAGACACAGTAATCAATCATGTATCTGCCCAACATCTAATTCTGGAATAGTGATAACAGGGTCATTAGGAAAATGTGCTCAGTCACGGTACGGCAGCAATGTTATGTCTATATTTAACAGTGAAACATGTTTGAAAATAGAATCAATACTGCATGGTAAGTTTACAATTCACCATTTCTATACTTGTAATACATGCGTTTGTTTTCCAGTTTTTAGAAAATCCCACTGGGACCAACATCTTTCAGAACAACAATCTAACATTAAACAAACTTTCTAAGGAGAATCATCACAGAGTTTCAGAAAAACCTGTTACTCAGCATTACAAAATACTCAATAGATCTACATTTAAGATTGTTCATGCCTTGACATTAACACACCTTTGGGTTAATAGATCTTATTTTAAAAAGAACACAAAGACACAAACCAAACAGGTGACACAGAATTTGCTTTTAGTCTCTCGTAGGTAAAGAAAGACCTGATAGACTTGAGTCTTCTGTATCATGATATGACGATTCTATCTAGGAAACATTTGCATTTATTAAAATACTTAAAAGTAGAGAGAGAAAAGGGGTTAACATGTAGAAAAACTTAAAAATAAATAGCATCATGGAAAATGTTTCCTTAAAATGTTTAGGTATACTGGTCACAAATGAAATTGGAAAATATTAGCCTATCATTTTTATGTTGGCAGATGTGAAGGATCAACATGTGAGGATTGATACTTTTGAAAAAAAATGCTGTATTTTTTTCTGCTGACTAAATCCACTGTAGAAATTGACTACTGATTTCCCCAAGAGGGACCATTTATATACCAGCATGTTTACAGGAATGACTTACATTTGGTAATTCACCAAGTCTTTATGACTTGAGCAAAGAAGAAACAAAATGAATTCTTACTGCCTTATGGTTACATCAATCAAAACAAAACTAAGTTATGATAGGCTAGTTTAATAGTTCTGATTGTACTCTTATTTGGTACTTATTTCAAGATAAGGTAGAAATAAGAAAAGAATTAACAAATAAAAACCGTTTACACCGAAAGTCTTTATATTTTACATGCTAATTTTAAATGATTATATGTTAACTTAGGCAGTTTTGCCATTTTCATATATACTTTTTAAAACTATTTTCATTTCTGTATTATTCATTGTTTTTACTACGTAACAATTTTCTGTTAAATTAAAATAGTTTACTTTATCACTTTATATTCTAAGTGGCTTTAGAAAAATGTATAGCTAGGATAAATTTATAAAAAGGATAAAGAATATTTTAAGGGACATTTAGACAAATTCTATACAGATAGTTAGTTCCAGATAATAAAGTGCCTTCTTTTTTTCAGGTATTTTTTTCACTAAAATATTTTAAGGCTTTGCAAGAAACCCAGTACTACCAGAAGTTTGGTAGTATATGGCATTACATTATTAATTAGCAATCTTTTGTAGCTCTTATGTTATTTAATTTTTCAATATAAATGGCAATTTTTAGTAACTATAAGTTAAAATTTATGAATTTGTATCAATTTTTGAATACATTTTAAAGGGAAGGGGAAATGGCTAATTTCTAAATGCTGTGATTTGTATGTAAGACTCAGAAGTTGTTAGTAGCCAACGAACCTCAAAAAAAATTCAACAAACTTTTCAAATTGTGGCAAATGGGGCCATTAAAAAAACCTTATTTGTTTATAGATTCTATTTTCTTTCATTTAAAATTTTTGTGCAGCCTTAAGTAGGGAAGGCTAGAGAAAACCAATGGTAAATTATTCAGATACAGGTATGATAGACGCCTTCTATTTTAATAAGTTTATGCATAATTTATGTTGATGCCAACTTCTAATGTTAGCATTTATACCTACTCTGCTTACGACCCATTGGTATATCACAGTAAAATGCCTGAGACTGAACAGAAGTTTATATATATAGGAGCTATATCCACATAGAAATCCATTTATTATATGTCTTATTTCCCTTGGGGGAATATGGATGTGTTAAAGCACATCTATATACATGTTTGTGTGAGAAAATTTAGATTTGGGGATGAATTATGACTATCAGGATTTCTACCAAATTATTCTAATCAACAAACACTACTTTAAATGTTTGGAAATTGTTTTAAAGAATTTTAACAAGAAAATGGTTCATATTTAAATCAGCACAAGAGTAAATGCTTGTGATATCTAATGGTCATGGTTTTCCTGATCATCACTGGATTAATTTCAACAGTTCTTTGAAGGTGCTGAGGTCAGGACATAGGAAGAGAAAACTCAGAGGGAGAATGGTCTATGTGAAACATTCACATCAAGAATCCAACAGGAATTAACAGTAGGAACAAAGTGCTAGTTTTAGTAAGAGTAATTCTAGGGTTAAAAATCTCAAAGTGGTATATCCTTTATAATTGCACATTCCTTTTTCAAAGTGCCACAAGTTACCATATATTTTTCTAAGATGCACACAATTCTACTTTTTTAAACTCTAAATACGTATATAGGTTCATCTTTTGCATACTAGTACAATCTCACAAACGTCACAAATATAACCAGGAAAGGTGAACTATAACTGTCAAAAAACAGCATAGAGTTTTTAAGCGGTGACTGCTACGAGCCCACATCTTTATAAGAATTCATGTCCAAGTGTAGTGAAAACATTCCACAGAACCCGACGACACCAAATGAGCTTGTTCAGGCAAATGTTAGTAACACTCCGCTATGCGGTGCACAGAAATCTTACACTTTAAAAAACATATCAGCTTAGCTATTATTTTTGTCTATTTGACTACATATTATACTTCCTCTCTTCACTCACTGAAGCGACAGTAGGAGCTGATTAACCAATCTGGAAAACAGTAGTAAATAGCGAGGTTCCCCCTCTTAACTGCTCATTCTTATGAAGTACAGCAAAAATGTGCAATGTTGATTTCACATGATTCTATCTCTCTTATTTAAATAGAAGCACTACATGGAAATGTGTTTTAGAAGTTATAATTAGAAGTCATCTTTAGAAGAAATATAAGGATAGGATAATGGAGACCAAAGCACCAAAATATAGAACAAATCAAAGAATTGAAATGAAGACCCTCATTTTGCCGAATTCCCATTTCATCAGGTAATAATTAAAGATGGTTCTTTGTCATGTAGTAACTGTATTAGAATATAGTGCAAATAACCGGCATGCATACAGATGTAAAATTTGGATAGTTCTACTATTTTTGAGGCAATGAAATTAAACTTGAATTTTCTCTGAAAATTCTTTTTCTCTGAAAAATGGGATGAAAATGCTATCATGCAGGGAAAGCAAGACTGTAAAACCAGTGGTCACAAGTGCAGGACATCTGGGCTCTCTTAAGCCAGAGGCTAACTGGGCAAAATGCTCCATTTAAATAGAGTGAGAAGGTTGGTTAGAACATCAAAGAACTGCTGAAATTAGGATTAATTCATCATCACAGAACACTAAATGGCTCTCTGAAAGGATCACTTCCTTTTTCTACAGTTTGAGGACCTCCTTCTACAGCAGCAGTCCTCAACCTTCCTAATTGCTGTGAACCTTTAATACCATCCCCGTGTTGTCGTGACTCCCAATCATAAAATTATTTTGTTGCTACCTCATAACTGTTATTTTGCTACTGGTATGAACCATAATGTAAATATTTGATATGCAGGATATCTGATAATGTGACCCTCGTGAGGATCCCCCGTGAGGACCACTGTTCCACAGTGTGAAAATGACTACAAAAGGTGCCTGAAATAAATGCCCAGTTATATAAACCCTCCATATTTTTTTGTGTGTGTGTGCATGGCTGAAGCATGAGACAGACACTGATAGGGTAGTCTTCTGAGCAAGCTGACAAATCAGAACGGATCATGCATGATAAATGGTTGGCAATCCTCTCCCTTTCCCACCAACCCTAGCTCAGCACACTGCCAGGTTAATAATAGGACGGGTAGATATCCGTCCTCAGAATCTTCTCACGGTTTTTGAGCATAAAAATTAATCCTTTTACCATTAAGTAATGGGTTTTGATAGTTTTAGCATTCAACGTTTGCAAGAGAAATACAAAGCCCCGAAATACATGAAATTCTTAATCAAAATTGCAGACACGGAAACTCTAAATTACAAATAATACTCCAAGTATATTTAGCTAATCTAACACTCCAAATAATTTAATATTTTGCAGTCTCTGTTGCTAATACACACCCTTTTGGACAGTGTAGGAGCTAGACAATTATATTTACCTAGAATACAGCTTGTGGTAGCAGTCATACACACTGCTATAAATACTGACCATCTGCAAGAGACTCATTCTTACCATATTATTTGATCTTATTTGTCTTTTCTTTACCTGTTATATTTACAGAATTTTTACTGTATTGGGACAAGACTGGAAACGTTAATCAATCGTGTGGGTAGTGGTTGAACTATACAAAACTTGTAAAAGTGGATTGCAACTTCTCTGCTCTGTATGTAGTGACATGGTTTCTATCACTCCATGCCAAGCACATTTTATGATTTGGGGGCCAAACTGTAGCAAGTTTTTCTTTTTGGGAACACCAACTCCCCAAATAATGAAACAGACTTAATATTAATTATGAAAGCTTAGCTTTAACTTGGGCTTTTCCCAACTAGCTCTTATAACTGAATTAACCTTTTATGAATCTACATTTTGCCATGTGTACCATATGTCTGACTTGCTTCGCATTTTGCTTGTATCTCTCCACCTCTCTTCTTCCCAGAGTTCTCTCTTTCTCTCCCTGGAAATGCCGGGTATCTCTTCTGCCTAGCTATTGGCCATTCGGCTCTTTATTAAACCAATCACAGTGACACATCTTCACCCAGTGTAAACAAATATTCCGTAACAAAAAACAGGATCTTGCAGTCTGCTCTAACAGTCAGACCCAGCAGAGGAATTAGCTCATGGAATATGAAAAATAAATACCTGCTGATTTAATGTATGTGAAACAGGACTGAGAAACACAGACAAATAACTTTTATATTACATTTGGCCTCCCACTGTCTCTTCATGAAGATCAATGCTGGCCTCCAGTACAATACGGTGGGTGGCATTGCTATCTGATGAGCAGAATAGCTCTATTCATTCTTACGTCACTATGACAACGCCTTTTGAAGTGTGTAAGTGACACCACTGACTACAATCATCCCTAAAACTTTAAATTATTCATCTTTACCTTTGCCAGGTGTTCTAGTTGAAAGCTGAGTTGCTGCATACAGCAGCCAATACTTTCCTGATGCTAATTCAGATGCAGCGGTAAATCAAGAAAATAAGAAACACAGCTGCAGCTCCTAGCATGAACATAGAGGCTATCAGAAGGAACAGAGAGGCAGTAATGAATCCACATCAGCTGGGACCTGAAGATTGTGGTTAAAGTAGGAAAGTCAGGCCAGGAGATGACAGGGATTCCCTTGGACTGAGGGACTTCTGAGATTAGACTAGATTCCAACAGCTCTTTCTAGCTCTAAAATTATTTATTATGATCCCACTGACAAAATGGGAATCTGGGTGGCACTCAAAACTGATTTTCTTTTCAAGAAAAAAAAAAAAGGTAAGCAAAGCCCTAAAAGTTTAATGGTTTGGAACTCTCACACAGCTCTTAGTACTAAACATCTTTTTTCAATAAGTCATTACTCTACGTTCTTCGGCAACAATTTTGTAAGAAGTATTAGAAATCCTGACCAATTCTATTTAAGTCAAAATAGTATGTAGATACAATAACAGCTTGTATCGTCAATGCAATTAGTGTTTGGAATCTCTCCTTCTCCCAGCATTTTCCATGAGCTCACTGTTTCATGAACTTTCTGACCTCATTTCCCATTGTAAAGAGGGGAAGATGAATTATTTCCTGTGAAAATCAGAGTTATGGTTTTAAATAAAATTAGTGGAAAGATTGCAGTTTTTGATGTTGTTTGAATGTCTAACTTAAAATCACTTCATATATACATAAAACTCAGCATATTTAGTGATACTGTGTTAACTGAACAGCAACAACAACAAAAATATAACAAAGCAAAAAAAAACTTAAAAAGTGAAAAGGCTTTTGTTGTTGTTGTTGAAGGGCATTAAACCTAGTGCTCTGCATGTGCTAAGGCCATGCTCAATCACTGAGCCAAAAAAAAAACTTTTATGTTATGCTAAGACTTTTCAGAAGCCTCTCAAGCAACGGATACGTACCAAGAAATGAAGCTTATAATTCACAGCCCATGATCCCTTTTTACCTTCTCCACATTAAGCTGATACCATTTTTCATACTCCAACGGGAATAGGGGCTATATCCTTTTCTCCATCTGGCAAGAAATATTATTGGCAGTTAATTAAAATTAATTACTACAACTAAAATGAGGATAGACTGGGCATTGCTCAAAAGAAGTTAGCGGTCTTTAGAACTGAGACTATATCCTCGAGGCTTATTATGCTGGTTCCTTGGGTTTTCCTTATGGGTTAAATTATACTAATGAGGTTCCCTTGGTGATTCAAATCTAACTGGCCTTTTAAAAATGAGAAATACAACGTAGGCCAAATTCTACACGAAAGTAGGTCACATTAGAGAGAAGCTTCACTTCAGTATTTTTGAAATGATCAGACTGAAATATGAATAGTGAAACCGGGGAAAGGTAAGCATGAGCGGGTAAGGAAGGGAGGCAAGATGGCTCAGCAGGTAAAGACACTTGCTATGCAAGCCTGGTGGCCCGAGTTTGATCCCCAGAACCCACCTAAAGGTGCACGAAGAGAACCGACTCTATGAAGTTGTCCTCTGACCTCCGCATGTGCACCCTGGCATGCATGCCCATCTCCAGACATCACACACGCACGCACGTACGCACGCACGCACAAATGCATTTAAAAAAGACCAGTGAGGGATTGTGGCGGTACTATGTGGTATGTGGGAAGGTAAAAAGGAATGGGAACAGTGGATATGAGATGTGCAGAAATAAAATAATAGCATTTATTTCATTAGGGTACCTTTCACAAACTGATATAAGCATTATGGTGCTACATGGCTCTTTTCTACTGCCAAACAATTATTTAAACATGGAAAATGATATATTATCCTCATAGAATGGCAAGAGAGTAGCTGTTGTATATGATACTGGTATGTAACAACATGCTGGAATCCCTCTGTGTTCCTAGTGCTGAAGGTAGAGGTGGTTAAGGTTGCAGGGTGACATCAACTTCAGTTATGCATAGGACACAGATAGAACTCTTTTGCAAAAGACCACAGAAGAGGAAAACTTTCACCCTTTAGGTATACCGAAATACAGTGTAGTATGCAGCACCCTAGAGTCACAGTAAATATTTGCTCAAATTCACTGAATGAATATCACTGGATGTGTAGAAAAACCCAGACACAATCTTGATCAATTTTATTGTACCTATTCACCTTGAATTTATATAAGCTTTTCTTAGAATTAAAGATCAAACTGAATTTCTAACTATAAAATTGAGTTCACTACGTCCATGTTACATCACTTAGAATGCATAACAGCTACTAAGGTATTACTGCATTGACCAACAATGGAAGTATTCTATCTATCAATTTTTTCTTTTTGGGGGGGTTGAGACAGGGTTTCTCTGTGGTTTTTTTGGAGTCTGTCCTGGAACTAGCTCTTGTAGTCTAGGCTGGTCTCGAACTCACAGAGACCTGCCTCCCTCTGCCTCCTGAGTGCTGGGATTAAGGTGTGCACCACCACCGCCCGGCTCAATTTTCTTTATAAGACAGTTAGGGCTAGGATGGCCTGGAACTTGTAATTTTCCTGCCTCTGCCTCCCAAATACTAGGATTGCAGGTATGCAGCACTAGGCCCAGCTCCAGTCCAGGGTGCTTTGATAAACATTATAGTAAGGATTTCCTCACCTGGGATTACTGTTAACATTTACTCTGTGAAATCACAGCATAACTTTAAGTGAAGGAAATAGTTTGATGGCCACTGTCATCGCTGATGGGCTCACCCACTTTCTATTTTAGTAGACTAACTCAAGGGTCCTGAAGGGTACTGCTTGATTCATACAGCCCCAGTTAAAGTGAAAGAGGTTACGGGGACTGTCACTTACTATTTGACAGTATTTCCTCACCTTGTATTCTTACTTTCATTTACTGTCAAGATATTAATCAATTCAGATACACAGTTCAGATTTGTTTTAAGAAGATAACAGCAATAACAAGAAACTATTGTGAAAATCAACAACATGGATGATCTAAAAGGCAAATAAAAGAAACCAAAATGAAAAAAAAATACATGCTAAGTTAAATGAAATTCTAGAATACACAAACACATGTCAGATTAGATCAATGGTTGCTTTTGGAAATTAGGAAGGTAGGTGGGCTGTGGGGATGTTGATTGGGAGCAGGAATATACAAATTTCCTGGGTAATAGAAATCTTCATGTCTCCATAGTCACTGAGTATTGACTGACAGATACCATGTAAACTGTGTTTCAGTCAAAAACTGAAAAGCATTATAGTGAATACAACTAGGTATTCTTTCATAAGCATCGGAAGGTGGGTGTTATTTTCCTTTTCAAAACTTTCCCCTTCAAACTCTCCCATAAAGAGTAACACACTCTAGAATGGAATCCAGGACTAATACTCTACAGGGCAGGACTGCCAGCTCAGAAAGGGGATTAATTCAGTACAGTGAGTAGGTGGGAGGGGACAAGATTTTATCTGATGCTGCATGGTATATATATAATTCCACATAATTCCACATTTAAAAACCTTGGGATGCCAGTGGTTGGGTCCTAATTTATGACTAACTACCCCATCATTATAATTTGCCCTGTGTTCATCAGTTTTAAAGAGGTTACTTTCTGAGTCAAATATCCAATGCATGATTAGTTTCCTACAGAAATAACCTTATTACACTTTATGATCATTCTAAAAATAAAAGAAAATTATATTAGTTCTGAGAAGAAAATGCTAATATACTGAACAGAATTTGCTCAAAGTGACGCCAAGTATTCATCTGTGAAGTTAAAACTGTAAGCAAAAGCCAATAATTTCTTCAATGTATTCCTTATGGCAGTTTCAATTAAAACCTACCAAAGACTTATGCTGTCCCATGTTCATATACCATACAAAGACATCTAAAATAATATTTTACTGTTCATAGTCACCTCCACCTGAGAGTAGAGGGAGAAAATGAAAAAGTACAATGTCCCTGCATGAGGAGGGCTATAGTAAGGATATGTTAAAAAAGTAAACTAATAACATCATTTCCCTTAAATTGTTATTCCTTAACTTGAAAAAAGTGGCTTCTTACTCCACATTACAAATTCAAATTGATTAAAAGCAAAAGTGTAGGCATACCAAACAAGAGAAGGCTGACTTCATGATCCATAATTATTATCATGGCCATTAACAGAAAACTGCATAAATATAAGCTGATATAATAAACAATAAATTAATAAGAAGATAGCACAGCTATAAAGTTTCCACTGACAGTTAAATTACACTAACAGCCCCTGTGAGCCTCTCAGAATGGACTATAAACACCTGTGCAGTCAACACAATAGACAGTCAGATGATGTTTCAGACACACATTTCTAGTAGCTTTACAAATCTCTAAGTGTCAAAAGAAGACAGCGCTCCTGTTTGAGATAAAAGAAAAAAAATACAGTTCATATATCCAAGAGGGAAGGCAAGCCCATGATCTGTAGTGTTCTATAATAATCACTGGGGCCCAAACCGTGGCTGTTCCCTATATCCTAAAGCCTAAAGGCAAGTGGAATGCTTCTCCCTTTAAAGGACTTAAAGGACAACTTTGTTTTGAGGTAGGGTCTTCACTTAGTAGCCAAGGCTGGCCTTGAACTCACTCTGTGGCCTTAGCTGGACTAGCAGTCCTGCCTCTGCCTCCTGAGTGGCTGAGGTCACCGGCATTTGTCACCACACTTGACTTGTAATGCTGTTGGTTTCAATTTTAGAAGAAAGGTGTGAGAAAATTCTTGCAGCTGAGAGAAAACACCTAGCAATATCTTCAATAAAACATATACTTCCACTGGTTCTGAAGCAAATGATGAACAATGGCTAGTGGAGAAACCACTTTAGAAGATCTAGGGCAAGTTTTGAAGTTAGTTGTTAAGTGCTTTTGAAGAAATCATGTAGCATCTTTGAAAATTGTCCCTATCTTTTATGAATGAACGGATCAAAGTTGATAGCACAGGCAGACAAATAGATATTAGGCTGTCAAGTCTTGTGGCTATCATTTATGAGGAAACATGCAAAGTAAGCAGGGGCAGCCGGTCCTCATTGTGTGGACTACCCAGTGGTTGTCTTTTATTGATGGAAACATTTTAATTTCTTAAACAAATCTTATTCATTTTCTTAATGATGGCTTTGGATGAACAGCAAATTCTCATTCTGATGGAGTCTTACATACATATTTTTTTTCTTGTACAGCTAGTGCCTTTCGTTTTCTGTCCAAGCAATTTTCACTTATGTACCCATGCCCTTTTACAAATAACTAAAACACTTCCAATTGGAGGTTCAGCTTTCCTCGCCACTGCTACCTGGGAGTTTTTGTTGTAAACTGAATGAGGCTCCCTTCCAACTGTGCATCATTTTGTTATACTTGCCATGGATGGAATCAGGTATTTTTATGGGTTGGGAAGAATTAATAATGTCGTTCATGTTTCTTAAGAGTCACCATGTGACAGATATTTTGTCCTGATTTTGTGTTTAACCTTCTTAAGGAGGATGTGGCTCACCAGCAGTTCTTTTGCTTTGGAATGCATACATGGCCCTGAAGACAGAAGATGGCCCAGAACATAGTGGATGGTCAGCAAGGACAAACTGATAGAATCTGGACGTCAAGCCAGGACTGGCTGACACCAATGTCTGTATTATTTACTACTCTGTGCTAATGCTTGAGAATTTACAGAGATTTAGGACCTAGGAATATTATTAAAATCATTGCTATAGCATAAGAGTGGAGGAAGTAGATTATAATGATTTTTGTTTTTTTTTCATAGTAAAAGGCAATTATGGAACTTCTATTAAGCTCTTCCTTGATAATTCTAATCATATACAGCATTTCAAAGTACAATTTACATATATCATATTTAAATGTATGATAATTTATAAATATATGATAATTCTTGCAGATTAGGCCAAACTGCATATGAACTTTTTATGGTCACAAATGGTAAGGTCAGAATAATCCAATTTGCATATAAAACTCAGAAATTAAGATGGCTAATTCCTCAGCAATGCTCCAATTCTGATAAGCTGGGAATACCAAGGATGGTGTCATTTATTTTTTGGAATTTCCTACTTAAAGTTTTGCTCACAGTGTTATTAATCCTATTGAAATGGAGAGAATTCTGGTTTTTTTCTTGCTCAAATAGAGATGGCATAATGAACATGGTTGAATTTGAGCTTGTGACTGAGGATGCTGCAGCATCCTGGACTCTTCACTGTTGTTCATTGTGAACACCCGTGAAGGGAACAGAGCTGTGGGTTCTGGAGTCAGTCTGATAACAAACTGACACATTACCTTCAAACAGACCTTTGGAAAAGTCTGCTTTCAATTTCCTATGTAGTCACTTGTAGATCTCTTGTTCATAAGAGCATAGGTTCATGGCATGCATGAAACTCTCAACAAATAAAATATTGTATTATAAAACCAATAAACTAGACAAATATAAAAAGTGAACATAGCCGGGCGTTGGTGGCGCACGCCTTTAATCCTAGCACTCGGGAGGCAGAGGCAGTCGGATCTCTGTGAGTTCGAGGCCAGGCTGGACCAACAGCCTCCAAAACAGAGAAACCCTGTCTCGTAAAACCAAAAAAAAAAGTGAACATAGTGAAAAGGTTCACTGGCTGATTTATTAGACCTGCTATTAAATTCACAATGCAGGTGCAATGACAGGATGCGGCAGGAGGACAAGAAGGGACTAGGTTGCTCCGGCAGAGAGATTCATGTGTGTCTGAGGCTGGAAAGTTAGGCTGCTGTGCTGACAGGTCAGAATCCAGTTATGTCCTCTGTGTACCGACACGATCACCAGAGCACTGAGTTGCTGTGTCTCCTACCAGGGCTCAAACGCCACCATAAAGTTAAGTGTAGACTTGAGCCTAAAGTTCATGTGAAATCAAGAAAGTACCTATAATGCTATTTCTAGTTTCTTTCTTACTTTTTTTTTTGAGATAGACTTTCATGTAGTCCAGGCTGGCCATGAACTTGTGTTCTCCTGCTCCTGCTGGGAGTATGGGCATGCACTACCACATCTGCCTAGAATGCAGTTTTAGAAACCCTTTAAATGAACTATAAAAGCATGTTTAAACTGACTAACTTTTGTTTTCAAGTTTGCCACCTAAAATTTGTCTGTTAGTATGAAGGCTTTAATTATCAGTGGGCTCATTAACAGCTTGCTATTTTAATATTAGGTAGGCTGGTGGTGATTACAGCAAATCATGTCACCTGCCAGGGCCTGAGTTTTGCAATGTCTAAGTAGGGTTAGCAATATTCAACTAATTTAAATCAGGATAAAATGAGGTTGAGTATGGGAAAGAAATCTGATTCTAAATTATATATAAACTATAATTTAAAGTTCTATATCCATTTCCAGTCTTTAACTTAATTATAAAATATTTAATAATTAAAGGACAGTCACAGGAAAATGTTCAGGATATATCAGTTCCTTACACCACAAATAACTGTGTATCTTTGCACTGCAATGTTTCTATATGAGAATTAGTGTATCTGCTGACTCACTGACACACCCCAAACAGAGTTAGGCTTGTACCATTTGGTACATATATAGTGACATAGTCATTATAATAAAGAATACTGGTGGATGTTTATAAATTCTATTATGTGAAAAGGAATCTGTGACTACACAGTAAATGAACTAAAACTAAAGTGAGGCAGAATATAAAAGCCGAAGGCAGGGAGCGCAACTATGCAATACATGTCACTACTTCTTGCCTTCCAACTACAGAATCATGGTAGCCTTATATGATGAGTCTTCATGGGGCTGCATAATCACCCCTCATGCTCGTTCCTCAGGAAGTCATTACCACTTGAACACAGTAGGCACGAGATGAAACAGATTGTTATTTTCATCTTAGGACAGCAAGAGAGATTTGGAATGATGAAGACATAATTACTGTCTAAAATAGTACTGTTGTATTTGTCTGTTTGCATGAGTGAAATATACAATGACAGAATGTAAACAATCATATTTGAAGGATCAATTGCTAAACGTAAAATACAGCTAATTATGATATCTCCAAACATTCTTCTCATATGTATGAACACACTGCCTGGAACACGGCAGATAAATGAAATATGTGTTGAATGAAAATACAAGTTTGATTAGGCTCCAAAAGATATGTAGAATCAAGTAATATTGGACATGGCACAAAAATGTCTTTAAGTAGAGCTTAGAATGTGTAGGGAACAGAAGATCCCCCTATCAAATTGCTCCTTAATTTGTGAGGGATCTTTGAAACAAAAGACATAGTATTTCCTCGAAGGTTTTAAATGATCACTTTCCTTCCCACTTGTCACCATTTAGAATTCTGCTAAGTATGTGACTTCAAAGGCAGAAAAGGAGCAGGAAGAGGAACAGCGGTGATTAAGGGAGGAAGCTGATTTATGCAATCAGCACAGGGCAAGGTGTGGAGGGGAATGCAAAGGAGGAAGTCAGAGACTCTGTAAATTTATATTCAAGTCAAAAAAATTACATTCAAGTCAAGGAGTTCAGAGTTTTCACATGGGAAACTAAGTTTAAAGTATATTTAATCAAGATTTAGGTTATATGTTTAAGAATCTCAAAACTATAAGAACTGTCTACTTAAAGCTTTTGTATCTAGTTAAAACTTATATATGATCACCAACTAATTTCTGTGTTACTTTCAACACACACACACACACACACACACACACACACACACACACACACACACACACCCAGTAGATTAATCACGGGGACTGGGCAAATTAGAAGTAAATTGTAAAGCAGTCATAACTAAATACGAAGAATGCTAAGGGTAAGATGGCCAATAAATGTTAGAAGCAACAAAGAGCAGCTGGAGAAGATGAGGGCCATAGAAGGAAGTCGAAGAGAGCGAGCTAAGAAGTTTGACTGGCTCAAGGGACACAGGCATTAGAAGAGTGCAGAGTTCACAGATCCTGCTCAGTTCCCTCAAGCGATGAGTTAAATGACTTATTCTAGGCCTGGGCACCACTAGAAAACCCAGATCTGGGCCCTGAACATAGTGCCTTTCCTTTACATTCGACAAAGACTTAAAAGTGGAAGTAGTAAACACCCAAAATTCTTTGGCTTTCTTAAGCATAGTTTAAATACAGCATGAAATTTAGGATTCATATGCACTTTAGTTTAAAGCTATGCTGTGTAACAAGTTTACTAATAGTAACATATTATTAAGAATTAATTATTAAGAGTCTAGAGAAGGGGGAGGGCACAGGAGGAGGGGAGGGAAAGGGAGAGGGACTTGGAACTGACTTGTGACGCAACCTTGTTTCTAATCTAAACTTAAAAAAAAAAGAGTCTAGAGAATCAAGGTCTGTGTTTACCCAAGATTAACCTTTTCTATGTAAATGCAGAAGTTTCTACCAAATGGTATGTAGATTCTATATAATAAGCCTACACATCAGAGGCAAATAGCTTAATGGAAGGAACTGCTTGAATTGCAGTGTGTTGTATCTTCAAATGGAAGTTAGAGCCTTCAAAAAAAAAGTTGAATAATAAATGGTGATTAACACATGAAATCACACATACTTACCCAATTGCTCATAAACTTGCTTCTATATAAATATGGTTTCATAATACTAAAAGAACAAGAATTCAAACTAGCATTAGTGACCATAAGTGCCACAGGCATTCTGTATTCTAAATAAATTTAGTATTATAATAAAGTAGGTAAATGCTTTTAAAATGAAAGCTCAGAACTCGGGGACTTTTTAGGCTGAAGTGCAGTGTTATCTACAGGCTCTTATTTGTAAAATATTAGTGCTAATCTTATATCAGAGACTACAATTGGAGGAATGACTAAATTGTGGAGTTTGTAGGTGGAGCTCCAGGGAGTTCAGTATACTAAGTGGAGCTCTGGGATTTAGGGATGCTAATAATATATAATGAAGGAAGACTTGAAATAGCGAAAGGAGCCCCGAAAGAAAAGTAATTTCTTGGTCTGCTATAGAAGCAGCCAGTTGTAACACACCTCACTAGCCAAATTCTTTTAATTTAATGAAAAAAATTTTCCTTAATGGGAGAAGAGAAAAACCTTTTTGTGTTGAGTGTTCTTAGGGTCAAGGAAAATAATATTGTCAAAAAGTGCATTTTACTTTACACCTGTATTATTTTATACCCAGATATATTATTCTCATAATAGTTATTTTATGCTAAAGTTTCATACTGTATTAAAGAAAGATTTTTGAAATTATTTAACGAATATTAATACTGTCAGGCTTTAGGGAAGTGTCCAATCTGGTATCTGTATTGTTAGAAGATAAACCTCTGCTGTCCACTGCAAAGAATCATACAAAGTCTAGAATTTAAGCCTACTTATCCTGGCTACTATAGTTTCAAATCTTGAACAAGCAAGCACAAAATGGCCACAAGTCTCCTAGTTCTCAGAATAAAAGCTTCCTCTCAGTGGCAGAACTCCCAGGACAAAATATCCTCCATTCAATCACAAGGATTATGTGGGCAATTTTCATATGCATACAAGGGCTTTGCGATTCTAGTGGAAATAACTATAAGTCCATTATTGAAAGAAGAGGGGTTAAGAAGCTATTTGCACATTTTTTAAAAAGGCTGTGAGAAAAATACAATGGGGCTGGGCTAAGGAGAAGTGGGGAGATTAGTGCTATAGGAGTTCATTTTCTCCAGATAGAAATGGTCTTTAAATTGGCTCCATACAAATCACATGATTGAACACTAGGAAATTATTAAATGGTTAATTTTATGATAAGCATTTTTGGACATAGAAAAAGACAACTAGAAGTGAGGCATTCAAAGATGTCCCCAACTAAGGATGTTATTATAGTCCCAATATTTTAATAGAAAAGGCTGATGAAAATTATGTGAGACTTGGATGGTCAAATTGTGAGAGCCTCAGGCTGCAGAGAATTTCAGAAATGTTTGGGCTGTGAAACCTAGGGAGTAAGCAATCAGTGGGGAGAGGAAGCTGGAACTATGGAGGCTGACACTGGTGTCCTCGATATTGACTGGCTATGCCAGAAAGCTGGCTAATGCGACATCACAAAATTAAACACCCGGGTTTACACCTTAAGTCTCATGTGTTTAAAGCAAGCAACACATATTTGTCAACACTGTTAAAAAAGATCATCATCTACAATGACACGCTACAGTATTTGAATGTCGGCAATTTCAGCTAGAAAAATGACCTTTATAGTTTAAATCGATGACAATGAATAGCTCTCAACTGGAGGTGGTGGCTGGCACCTATATTTCTAGCACCCTGGAGGCAGAGGTGGTAGGAGCAGGAGCTAAAGGCCAGCTAAAATGATCTAGACAGTGTGAGGGGCCACCCTGGACAGCAGGAGACCTTGTCACAACAACCGCCACCACTACCATTACCATAAACACCACCACCACTAAGTTTCCAGATAATTATAACAAGATATGAACAAGACAATTAAAATGCTAATTTCAGAACTGTTCTACCAACTAAATCATAATCCCTGGAGATGAGAATTCAAACTGACTTTGTTATTAAACCATGTCACTAATGTCTGAGTATCATTGGAGTAAAATCTACTTTAGGTTTTTGAAATTTATTTGACTGTGTGTGTGTGTGTGTGTGTGTGTGTGTGTGTGTGTGTAGGTCCATGTATGGAGATTTGATGACACCTTGCTGGGGTTGGTTCTTTTACCAGGTGGGTTCTGGAGATTACATCGTCAGGCTTGGCAGCAAATGCCCTTACCTGCTAGGCCATTTCGTTGGCCCAAATGGACTCAATTTTAAAGGGAGAAAATGCTGTTATTTTAAAGGTGCTTAGAACTCTTCTGAAGCAAATACAAATGCAACATTTAAAGGCATACTACCTGACATCATTATGCTAATAGTTCTTCTAGTTCCTCAGAGGCACAGTGGAGATTCTGTGCTGTTTTCAAAGCAGACTATTGGTTTCAAACAATTTCTTTGAATTATTAGACTCAATCCTAGGTGAGTCACATGGCAACAGGTGCTGTAAGTACCAGCTGCCTTGATGAACTTGGGCTTTTTAGACCTATGATGATTTCTTTATAGTTTTGAAGCTGGGATGACAAATAGCATACATTTGGCATGAATGTTCTTCTGCCCCCGCCCTTACAGATCTCCAGGCAACATTTTATGGCAGGTGATTCAGTATAACCACAAATGAGATGAATCCAGTTTCCATTACTTCATCAAGAGCAAGGCTCAGGGGCACAGAACTGGAATCTATATGAATGTTTGTTATTTGTGTGTATATGTAACTTATAACCAATTCATCTAATTAGTAAGGGCCAAGAAAAACTAGTTTTTCTTTAAAAACATTTCTTAGTGTCGGAGATGGAATCCAGGGCTTGAAGACACTAGGCAAGCGCTCTGTCACGCAGGTACAGCTCTTAAAACTAGTGTTTGTAGTTAGAAGTGGGTGAAAGGGTATTTGGATGTTTTCAGAACAATCCTTGGCAATTTGAAATTGTACTTCTGCATTCAATTTGGCTAATTAAGAGAGCTGAATTTTAAAAGTCCCATGTATTATTCCTAATAAGCTCTTAGAGTTGGAAAGATGCAGGTAACAATGATTTTCTCTATGTATACTACAGTACATACCCACCTAGTCAGCCTATACCATCCCCACTAGGCTGGCAAACAGGGAGTAAGTTATTTATTAAAAATTAAGCAATTTTAAGTGTTATTTACTCTTGGATAATATGTTTAATGAGTGCCCATGGGAACAATCTCCATTGAAAGCAATGGGTCCAACCTTTAACTAAGAACCACAGTGCTATATAGTTCCTCTATCTTGTGAATAGAAGGAAGACTCAGAAAGATGGTGAAGATCGTGTTATGTGTTTTTAAGGAAATGAGTTTATTTTACCTCACGTATATTTCTCAAGAAATAATCAGCATTTAAAGTCTTAAGTCTATTTACCTAACCCATGAATCACTCATATTACTTGATATATATTACAAAATGTAGAATTTGGAGACTAATTTCTAGGTTCCTTCAGGTATTAATATCTTATATTCAATAAGCTTGTAAGTAATATTTTGAGTAATCATTCACTTTGCTTTACTAAGATTTATATGCCAGAATTACTTAATAAATTAAAAACATGCTCCAGTATCCATATATCTGTGTGATGATTTTCATATCTTTATAATTCATCCCTGCCAGATAGATCTTGAGATAGCTGTTGAAAAGTGATATGGAATCAGAACGGTCATTAAATGGAATGAGTATAAAGAGAAAAAAATAATTTAAGAAAACTCTAGTCAACTTATAAAATGGTGTTTGCACTTTGTGAATATCTAAAGGGAGTCTAAGTTCTTCCTAACAGGATACTAGTTCTAAATCTTCCCTCTACTATTTTTATAGGTCAGATAGACTCTCATCTATCACAGCAGGACTTAATGCCACAGCTCAGTATCATCCATTTTTTCTGAAATGTGTTAGAAATGCAGTCTTAGACTTCTCACTCCATCATTCCCACTGCATGGAAATGCAGGTGGCTATCAGAAGTCAGGGAGTCAACAGGCCCTAAACTTTCCTAAACCATCATCCCAAAGCAATGGGGGAAAATATGTGCCTGTAAATGGAACACTGATCCTGTTGGTAATTCAGTGTGGCAGGGACAGGAATAACGTGCCAGAGTATGGAGGAAGGGTGAACTCTCAGTCAGATGGCAGGAAAAAGTTGTAAGAAACAAGCAAACCTCTCAATAATAGTCATAAGATTTATTTCCAAACTAATTTAACATAGCCAGTTATCTTCAGTTCATGAAAAGAAACAGTAGACCCATAGTGAACAGCGATTTGTCTTTTCTGTCCTTAGGGAAAGAATCAGGATGATCCATCTATGGTCCCATCATTTGAACCTTTTAAAAATTACTGGTACTTATTTGAAATAGTTGACCAGGATTTGAAGTTCAGTCTATAATCTACACTTAAGACCAAGTAAGTTCTATTTATGAACAGCTACCTAAACCAAATGAATACATCTTCATTAAAGCAAACTTCTCTTGGTGAGATTAATAATCCCATTTATAGGGAATAGTTTTGGATTACATAGTTCCCAGTGATCAGAAACTAATTTATTCTGGTGGGGACAGACTGTGTTTTACTAAGTTGGTGTGTGTGTATGTGTGTGTTTCTAAGTAAGTCTTATAGGTAGCCTGGCCTAGCTAAGCACAATGTTTAAGTGTCGATTTAGTTGACAAATATATTAGTTGGGAAATATGGAGCCAATTTTTAAATCTCTGGAAAATTATAATGAAGGTAATAATGTTGTTATACAGAATAGAAAGTCTATATAAAGGGTCCAGCAATGTAGTAGTAGTTTAAAATAGATAATTCAATATTAGTTATTAGTACTGATGAAACCTTTATTGTCACTCTTTTACAACCCCCCATCTCTCTCTTTAAAGATGGGGTCTTTTGTATTCCAGACTGACCTACATTTCTATATAGCCAAGAATGATTCTAAACTTTCTACTCATCTTAAACTCTTAGCTAACTATGGTAAGGATGCCAAGAGTGGCTGAGCGAAGGACCAGTCCTCCTTTCTTACAATCCATATAGATCTATCTTAATTCAAAGAGCAGCTCTGGCCTTTATCATGTTTTATTTGAAAAATTAAACAGGGTAAAGAGTAGGGTCATGGTGGTAGACTCTCACTGAATTCCAGTTGGGTATAGTAGGTGGGAGGGAAAAAAGATGACTAGTGAACTGAATTCTAGAGTTCTCTTTTTATACCTGGTTACAACATGGTAAACTCTTTAAAGTACCTACTAAACAGCAACAGATTTCATCCTGTTAGAATTCTAGATTGTGAAATCATTGGTACAAATCTTACTGCCTCTGAAGAACATGGAGGCCAATACAGCAGTTTCCGAAGCAAATTAGCAAGTGGCAATAACGTTCTAACATTGTTTTCTCTATTCTTAGCTCATCATTTCATGGTTCTAGTGTTTTGATCTGTTGTGAAGTTTTTGTATTTCAAGTGTGTACTTTTAGGTAAAGTTGTTTGCAGTGTTTGACAGTAGGCTGAAGAAACTCTCTCCAAATGACAAATGCAAAGAAGTAACAAACTAAATGGTTCTCTCATGCTCCACTGAGACTCCAAACACCACCAAGAGAGGCAACTGAAAACTGAAAATGTGCTATTTTGAGGAGAGGGAGGAGAAAACAGAGAAAGAATACTGTCTACAATAGTCAATTTATTCTATGGAATTTGTTCGAAATTAGACCAACTAAATTAGTACTGTGAACTACCACCAGGCCAAAGACATGAAATGTTTTGGGAAAAAAATAACTGTATGTGCACTAGTGCTTTGAAGACAATCAAAATATTCTTGTGCGTATGTTCTTTAAAACACAAGCAGGTTATTCCTAAATGCTGTCTTTGATTGTCTGTTGAGAACAGCATCACTCTTTTAACACTGTTCTTTTGGCAGGGGATGGCATTGCACAATGGAGGACTAGAGTGCTTACAGGATGTCCCTATGACCACAGCCTAGCTACTTCTCCATTCACCAACGCTCGTATTTTCCCAAGGCTCAAACAACAAACAAAGCATTAGGATATTTAATCTGTGTACAGCCTAGTAAGTACAGACATACAAGAGAACCATGCTGTTCCAGGTACGTGTTCTTCCTTGTGTTCAACATTATTATTTGTACAATAGTATTCAATACGGCCAAAGAATAGAGAATCAGAGTCAGTACTTCATTCTCTGGGACACTAGGGCGACAGTCGCCACTACCACTTAGCATTGTATTTTATGATTATTCCAGGAATGGCATTTGAACAATGATGCTAGGTTTTAAGAATTACTCTGCCTTGCAGAATGTAAGAGATGATTATAGAATATATTGAAGAAACAAACCACACTCCTTCAAAAATGAGACATTTAAAAATGTTCCCCTCAAAATATAAAGTAGATGACAATAGTAGTATAAAGTGTAAGCAGTGTAGTTAGTATGCTACTGGTTTTGAGAGTCTAGGACAAGACTTTATATTGTGTGGCTAAGGAGATCACAGGTGCCATGGACCTCACACAACTGTTGTTTCTGTCTAATGTCCAGTGCCGGTATCCTTGACCTACTGACTCTTTCACACTCCAATGATTCAGAGTTTAAGTTTAGGAGTAAACCCAACACAGTACTTTTATCACATGAAGAATGTACCTAACAGAAGTTAAATCAGGTTACAGAATCAGGTCTTACTACTTCCCCAGTTCCTATGTTCAAGCTTAAGAAGGGATTGGGAATATTTCTCTTACTCATGTCAGATTGAGTTCTCGTTAAAAGGAAGAAGAAAAAAAAAACTACGAGTTACTGCTTTTCTGATTCTCTTCTTTTTGTTTCTTTTATGTAACCTGATAGAATCTACAATAAATAAAATCCCGAAGAGTATTACCCCACAGAACCACATTCTCTATAGTACTTTCTGAGTGAAAAACTCTGGCTTTAGTCAGCTAAATCAGTCAGATTTATACCATTAGTTTAATAAAGATTATGAGGAGAAACTTTCTCCTCTTCCAAGTTATACTTTGTACAACTCAAATACTGTAGGAAATTTTAAGGGTCAGTTTTTTAAAAAAAAATCTTATTATTTCCTAAAACCCTAGAAAGTGTATAGAACAGTTGTAGAGACAAAGCATAAGAGAAAGGAGTGAGAAGGCAGACAGTTGCTACTGAGTGTCTGAGTCAGTCTTAACCAAGACACTCTTCTATTTGAGCAAGCTATTTTCACTATGCTTTACAAGGGAGTGCCTTCCCAATGGCCACACTGACCACTGCACTTCAGTGTGTTGGTGGGTGTCACCGTAGTCAGTAAAAACAATTTTTCACAAGGAAAACACAAAGATGATAAAATTTAGGAATGATAATGCACCAAAGACATCAAGGGAACTCTGACTAGGAATTGGAAATTATTAATTTTGCCCTAAATTTAAACACAATTCAATTTTGAAGGTGAATTTCACCTTTTTTTGGTCTATTCTCTATGAATACAGAGAAATATGTACACACTACTTAAGTTTAAACAGTATAAGCAGATGCTGGCCAGTTTTACAGATCCAAAAAGGATGGTGAAGTTATTCATTAAATATGATGCAATTCTCTCACGATTTTAAAATGTTTAAAAGGATCATATCTACTGACAATACCTCTCTCCTGAACAACAAATTTTACCACCAACCACACAGATACTACCATAAAGTTTAAGCCATGTCTTTTAATTTTCATATTTTTTTCTCAGAAAGTTTACAGGTACCAATCTATTAAAAGAATCCCTCAGGGGCTGGAGAGATGGCTCAGTGGTTAAGAGCACTGACTGTTCTTCCGGAGGACCCAGGTTCAATTCCCAGCACCCACATGGCAGCTCACAAGTGTCTGTAACTCCAGTTCTAGGGGACCTGACACCCTCACAAAGACATACATGCAGACAAAACACCAATACACATAAAATAAAAATAAATAAAGAATCCTTCAGCCTATGTTTAAGATATATTTCTAATTCTGTTAGATATTTTACCTGGTTGCTTTCACTTATGAAACTGAAGGGTTCAAGGGCAGAATATTTAATGCTTCAGTTTTTTTTCTTTTCTTGGTAGTCAACAGAAAAGAGAAGAGGTCATAGAGTGTATGTTCCCCCTCCCACCAGGGCCTGTCAGAGAACTATTAGTTTGCTTCCATTTTCAGGAATAGTAATACTTGCCAATTTCTTCTTGTTTTCTCTTGTCTAGCCTTACTTTTCAACAGTTACATTTGCTACTTCATATTTTTCCAGCAGATGACTTAGTTGTACTCGCAGCCACTTTCTAAGTTACACTTTCCCCAAATTATCATAGGCCCCGAATTTCTGACAGACTCTGGCCCATTAAAAAAAATAAATAAAAAGTCCAACCTTTTGAGGGTTGGCAAGTGGCTCAGTGGCAGAGTGTTTGCTCAGCATTGGTCCTCAGTTCCCCAGACACACACACACACACACACACACACACACACACACACACACACACACACACACACAGGTGTGCATGCTCCCCCCCCAAAAAACCCCAAATCCAAGAAACAAACCAAAAAATTAGTGCGTCAAATGCTTAGAACAGTGCTGTTTCTTTGTGTAGACTTGGATTTGAAGAGCTGTTAAATAAGCTTTATACCTTTCCTATTATACAGACCAGTATTTCCTGTTAATAAATCAAGCGATGTCAACAAAGCCACAGCATCAAATTTTTCACTGCAGTTCTAATGTTCATGTGCTCATAATGGCAAGGTCTTTGGATGCATAAACAGTGGCACAGCTAGGAAGGATCGAAAGCTATAATTTGCTAAAGCTTTTAAATATCAGTGCTTTTCATTAGAGAGCATGGCTCACCTCACATATAGTAACTTGGCTAAATTATCAATATCCAGATCCCCCCTGAACTGATGTGTTACTTCAGGAGAAAATGGCAGTATTTTTTTGAGAGAGGAAAAATGGGGTGATGTGGAAGGGGAGGTGGGGAGGAATGAGGAAACCAGGATGTGAAATTGCGTATTTTTACACATAAAAATAAATAGACATATTCGATGGATTTACATGCTATTTTCTTGACGTCTTTTCTGTATAATATAAAACTAAATGACATGCTAACCAAATAAAACATGATATTTAGTAAAAAGAAAATAATTCCTTAAATGCCAGACCTAAAGCTGCTACTGTCAGGTATGGGAACGTGCATGTTTATGCATTTAAAAAAATACATGTATATACATGTTTGCACATGAGAACGCCTCTAAAAGGAAACACAAGAAATTGATAACACTAATTGCTACTTTTTACTGCTTATTGCAGCATCGTATTATTATTTTGGAGACAGAGGTTCATGTAGCTCAGGCTGTCCTCAAACTTGCTATGTAGTCGAGGATGACCTTGAACTTTGTTCCTCCTGCCTTCATCTCCCCAGTGTTGGTGTTATAAGTGGTGTGGCAATCAAACCCAGGGCTTTTTCCATTGCAGGCAAATATTCCATCAACTGAACTATATTCTTAGTCCCATAAACCTGATACTGTATGAATATTTTTCCTATTAAAATGTTAAAACTTACTATTAAAATAAATGACTGAGAAAAGTCACATCAAATTAAGAATAAAGATCGATTTTTTTCCATTATACAAGAAAATGGTAAAAACTTCCTGTAACATCTACCTATGCATATTGACCATATTTCTTTTATTGTCGATTTACTGTGATCTAAAAATCCAATTTACATGCAATATTGCATTGGGAAACACATTTTTCCTGTACTCCAGTGCTGTAATACTGTAGACCATAGACTATCTCAACAGCAGGCTAACTCTGTATTCACTTCCTTTGATGAGCTAGCCATTAGCCACAATTCCTCTATGAAAGTCAAGAAATCCTTAAGGAAACATCAGAAAGATTTTAATGAATCTTATCTGGCAATGACAAATCTTTGATCTGTACCATGCTGGGGACACAGAATCAACGTTAACTTCCTTTGACAAGACATCTTGCCAAAGACTTTTGGTGTTGGAGTAAAGACAGATTTCAGACTAGGTGGTGACTCACCAAAGCCCTTACCTAGAGTTTGGAAGAGGATGTCTTGGTTTCAGTGAAAGACACTTGGAAAGAGGCAAGAAAAAATTTTACATAAAATCCCAGTTTTCAGACAACCAATTAAAACTCAAATCAAGCCTCACTCATTTAAATAGTAAATAAACTATAAAACAAATCTAAAGGAATGACAATAAATACATCAGTTTTCAATGATAGCTGCTAAGTAAAAATGACTATCTGAGAGTATATTCCAATTTCATCCTCTTCAAACTGTGCAGCTCAGGTAAATGTTTATTTTACTGAAAATATTTGCAAAATTACAATATAAATCCATGATTATATTAAGATAGGATGACTATATATAATGTTTCTTATCTATAGATATAAATAAACGCGATAAATATAGCACACTCTTGATAAATTGTTAGTACACAGGGTTTCTCAGTAAAGTACATACAACCTATTATTAAGCAACAATTATTTAGTTTTCAAATATACATCTTCAAATGTGTTCAGGGTAGAAGGATACACCAAACTCCCCAGTTCCCTTTTGAGTTGGTGAAGGTTAATACTTTTGCAGACTTTGAAATATCCTATTTATTTTAGCAACTTACAAAGCTCTTTATATTCCTTATTTAAAATTTTATTTCTTTAGTCTGGTGATTTTTAAAATATAAGCTAACCATACTTTTAATTCTAGTGCTGTAGCATGTACTGTCCTTTTATAACTTAAACACATTTTAACAATGGAACAGAACCATTAAGAAAGTTATCTGGCCAGATTCCCCGATTTGGTTTTTAGAGTATTATGGGAAGTCTCAAGTAGACATAGTCTGAACTGCAATACTAATCTGGATTAGGAATAGTTTTATATTATTCTAGTCCTTAATACAAATATGATCTACTTTAAAATTCCTTGTTAAATGAACTGAGATTTGTTTTAAAACCATCTTTTGTCCTTGTTCTCCATTACATCGACTTAATGGAAACCTGTTACAATAGTTCTAACACAAACATGTGCATGCAAGAGATCACCTTACAGATTCTAACTACATAGTTACTGAAACACATCCTGCCTGTCAAGTGGCATAAATGTACATCTTCTATATACAAAAGGTAAAGTGCATTATTAAATTAGTGAACTGACAGATTGTCTGCCTGGACCATATAGCTTTCAAATAGACAAATGTGAAATTCTTCCATTAGAACCAATCATTTCAAGAGGCTCTAAATAGCTTTTCCACCCTGTCATTTATTTTTTTGGCCATGCTCTTTAGTGCAAATAAGCTTGTGTTTGACTCAAGTTTAAGGGACATGGCAGTTTGGGGCTTTAAGAAGGAAAATAATAAAATGTGGCAGAACTTGAATATCTTTATAATACATTGCATCTTTTGCATATAAGCAGCACTAATGTGCTGCCTTCAATAACTAGGAGCACACAACTACTGAGGAACCCGTTTCCAGATTTTATACTATTAGCTTATGTTATTACAGTTTGAGTCTGTCCACATTATGCTCGATTACTATGTGCAAACATCATCAATGTTTTAGCATTATACAGTGAACTAGTAATTTTGGTTACTAACTTCAATGCTCATTTTTTGTTTCTAACATCCAGTTTCCTTAAGAGTTTAATGCCTTCAAGGCAAGGATCCTGTTATTTTGAATACCATGTACACTTGCAGCTCCACTTAGGTTACAAATGACAATAAATAAAATTTGTATTGCACAGATAAAAATAGTAGCTTATTTTATAAGATACATGGTAATACACATCCTAAATCCAGATGTTTGAACTGGATCACAATTATGGCTAATGAACTCTTGGGAATTGTAAGTATCAAAAAAATCATATCATCATACCATTTTTCAATGAATATATTAACTATGTAAAGGCAAACAAAGGATTGGTAGAAGTCTTAATGACTGTAGAGTGTGTTCAATTGCCAGTATATATGTATCTACCCAACCTGTAGCTTTGAGATGGCAAAAACTTTGAAGTATACATACAAGGTAGAAAATCTGGCTATTTAACTTGTTCTTTACTTAAATAATTAATGTGAAATGAAGTTAATAATATGTATATACAGTGAATTAAAATATATTTATCTTCACGTCTGACATGTGTATATATGCACGTATATATATATACACACTCAAACCTCATCAGACTAAAAACCAAAAAGAAATCAGTTCATCCTAATGGATATAAATATTTAAAAAAGGAAGATAAGATTTTAAGAGCGAGCATACACTCACAGCAATAGTGATAGGAACAGTTGAATATGGAATATTCACAGCTCCAGTTCGCCGAAATCTGACAGGTTGATTACTATTGATAGGCACTATGATGGGCAGCAATAACAATCAGTAGTACAGTAATTCAAGTGCACACCACTCCTTCATATACCCAAACTACTTTTTAGCAAGCCTACATAGTTACGTTAGTTTACACAGTTAGGACTGTTTAAGAATCCTTGCTACTTTTATAGTCTCAACACCCACCATGTGCTATTGACTTTAGTACTAACATTATCTTCTAACCTTCAGTTGTTCCACAGTGATCCAGATGGTTCACAACGATAATGAACTGAGTGAGATTCCATCATAGTACTTCAAGAAATGTGAAATATAATCTGCAACCAACACCAGTAGGTATGTCTGGGCTACTAGCTGCTTGTTCTTAAGTAACAGAAACCAGTGAAATCAACTTCCTTAATTCATTCCACAGTCTCCTTAGTGACCTAAGTGTAACGTGTTTGGGAAAAAGTTCCAGAGGGAAAATTGTTAAGAATAAATTCTGATTTGCTTATAGCGCATCAGAGAAGAGTCACACTCTGACCTCAATCTTGCAGCCAGCTCTCACCAATGAGAACTGTATTTGGGGAGTTGAAATCAGTGTCTGTCTCTTAAACAGGATTATATGACCTTACTGTGGGACAGTGACTGATCCCAGGACCAAACACAATTTCATTTAGAATAAAATGTATCCCAACAGATGAAATTTTAGTCAGTTAACAAGGGATATTGGTACATGTATATTCTATACCCACTTGTTTAAAAATTGCTTGAGTGTTTAAAGATTCAGGTGGCACTTTCTGGAAAGTGAGTTTTAATACAGGCAAATGGATATGTCTTGTGTAGAGTAAACCTCTTGAAGAATCAGAAGGAGCACCTTGGAAATTGCCTGAATTTTCCTTTTGAATGTTTATAACCAATCTTGTTTCCAAATATTGTATCTCCCAGACTGCAAGTTTGTATTCTAAATGCTTTTTTTTTCTACTCAGCAAAAGAAGGAGTTAAAGTATCTGTATCATATCAGATTTATAATGGAAGTTTGACATGATTTTAAGGGCAGCAAATACTAAAGTGCTACTAAAATATATTAGATGTATTTTTACATCTAATTTTTCAATCAACTGGTGCACCAACCCTATGAAATACATAAATGGGGAAGCATAAAATACAACACTTTGAACATTCATGATAGATTTTAAGAAAAAAAAAATGAATGCGAATGATCATGAAAGGCTAAAACATCAAATTTTCCATAGCAAAGCCACTGGATGAAAACCTCCCTCTCAACAGTGACATAAATATAATTCTCAAAACTTTAGAAAGTCAATAAAATATATAGTACAGGAAACAGAGATGAGATTGTAACTAGCTTAGAATAATTCATTAAAACTCTTCCATGGCTTTGATATGGCAACTAAAACTGTAGGGTTACCACAAAATTTGAAATTACAGAACACTATAAATAGTAACTGTTAAGGAATACGACATTGTATTTGAAAGGTTTAATAACCTATTAACATTTGATCTTTTAGAGTGGCATTAGCTAATATTCAGCTACCCAATGAACAATTATTCCTATTTGTACTTTCATAAAGAAATATACTATACTTGGAGGTCAATTTCTATTTCTGTGGTAACTTCCTTACAGGTAAACTTAGCAATTTTTAATGAAGTATGAATGGGACTTTCTTGGGGGGGGGAGGATTTGTTAAACAGAAATTCACACTTTCATATTAAGTAGATATATCATTTTCAGGATTCTGTCATAGTGCAATGTAAATCTTTAGCTATGGTGTTTAACGGTCAGAATGTCACATTTTGTGCTGATCTGCATACTTCAATCGTCTGGAGCAGCTGAAGCAGCCAAACTATTTAGCTCTGGGGAGGTTAAAATTCCCATGAGAATCATAGTGATCTATGTGTAACATGAGAATCAGACTTCTTGAAGTATAAACTACTAGAGGTATTACTGATAACAAAGGGCCCAAAAGAGGAAAAATTTCTTGAAATGATTATGGATCAGTACTGTTAGCCAATTAATGATTTTTAAATTTTGCCTGATGGAGTTCAATTTCATGCTAGTCGAGGCATTCTTGTTCTTCACCACTGGCCCTTCTGCCATCCATTCTCTTTTCTTTATGGCTGTTGCAAATTTTCCTCATCTCTTCTTCATACTTGATAAAATTCTCCCCAAACCTTGTCCAAGCTTTGAATGGAACAGTAATAGTATTACGGTAAGGTGGCCTCACCTCACTTACCTTCAGGAAAATTCCATATTTATTAGAGCCCACATCAAAGTAGAACCTTTTATTGTCCACTCTGAAAGAGGTCCCCTCGGGGAGTTCAAGTGGCTCATCATCTCCACATCTTCGTTCTTCTATATCTCCTTCGCCATAGTCTTCAATCAGCTGAACCAAGGCATCACGAAACTCAATCATTCCTTGTGCTGGGAGGACAATCGTCTGTTCCTGGCCCAAACCGTGGCCAAAGTAACCAATCATGCCAGTGCCCCGCATCATGGTCTGTCTGATCCTTAGGAAGCGGCCTCGCTGATTCTCCTTTAGGTCTAGGTAGTACTTCCTATTGTCCCTCTCGATATAGTCTGTTTTGAGGACACTGTGAGGATGCTCTTCTGAGCCCACGGACACCGGCGGGGAGGGTGCAGAGTGCTTCTGCCGCCTCCTGGAGACTTGCTCTTTGCTCTGACCATGCTCTTGCTTGTGGCCTTTCAGACCCAGGTGGGCATAGTGTTCGATGAAATCGCCTAGACAGTCCTTCAGCTCTGCGGCCACTGACAGGGAGAGGGTCAGTTTACTCTTTCTGATATTGTCCTGCCGGCCTCTCCCTATCCAGACTTCAGCTATCTTTAGGAAGCGGCCCCTGGAGCTTTGCTTCACGTCTAGGTAAAACCTTTTTTTCTGGATGTCCACTCGTTTGGAGGCCAGCTCCTGGATTTCGGATGCGCCCCCAGCCTGATTAGGGGTGGCTGACGCGGAGTAGTGGGGGTAGTGAGAGTGCTGGGCCTGGGGATAGAGTCTGCTCTTGCTTAGGCCAGAGCCCCCCACATTCTTGCCTCCGCGACCACGGCCGCCGCCGCCACCTCCCCTTCGCCTGGCTCTTTCCATCTTCAGCTGCAAGTGACAAACAGACACATGGGGTGGGATGGGGGAGGGGTGTTGAGAACAATCGCAGACGCCCCTGGGTCCGCACTGCCCCCGCCGCCGCCGCCGCCGCCGCCGCCCGGAACCCCCACTCCGGCTCGGCTCTCGCGCTCCGGCCTCGGCCGGCTCCGCACCGCGCACGCAGCATCCCTCGGCCGCCCGGGGCCTCCCGCTCCGATTCCCGCAAGCCGCCGGCCGCCCAGCTCGGGTTCGGCAGCCCCAGGGGTCCCCCAGCCAGCCGACACTCACATCATCTCCGTCAGCGCCACCGATGCCCTTCACGACCACCGCCGCCGCCGCCAGCTCTCGGCCCCTCCGCCGCAGCCGCCGCCTCCCCGCCTCCTTCCCCGCCGCCGCCGCCGCCGCGCGCTCTGCCCCCCGCCGGAGCAGCGGGGCAGGGGCATCGCCTGCGGCGCCCACCGCCGCCGCCGCCGCCGCGCCTCCTGCGGCCGCTGCCTGGATTCGGGCACCGGCCCCACGCCGCGGGGAGGGCGGGAGGGAGGCGGGGAGCTGCCGGCGGGGCCGGGCTGCGGACCCCGCCTCCCCAGCCGCGCTAGCGGAAAGAGGGGGGCTCGGGCTTTGCCTCCGGGCGCGCCCTGATGGCAGCCAGCGCGCGGGGACCCGGCGTGCGTGAGAGCCGGCTGGAGAGGTGGCGGGAGCCTGGCACTTCCCGCGGCTCGCCCGCACCTGTTTCGGGACTACATTTCCCGGCGTGCCCGGCGACCGTCAGCTTTGAGCATGCGCGCCGCGCCGGCCTACAGGGATGGCTGCGGTGGGAGGGCGGCGGGGCGGGGAGCAGTTGGGCGGGGCCGCGGGCAGAGTGCAGGGGAGGGCAGCGTCCAGAGCAGGAGGGCACCTGGGCGCTTGCTGGTGTAAAGTTAGTGTATGTGGGACCTCGCCCGATGCCTGGGTTGTGGGGCTTTGCTCCTCAGCCCTCCATAAGTCATCCTGCTGAAGGAGAAGACCGTGGATGTGGCTGTTCTCAGGGTAACGTGTCTTCCACGCTTTGCTTCTCCCCTCTGCGTACCCCAGGCTGTATCTACGCACCTTGCACCCTTGGCGTCCCCTGGGGTGGTGTTTGGGAGATTCCTAGAAAGGAAACCCGCCCCCTTTCCCATTCAGATTCCGGGGAGAGAGGCCTGGGGACCTCAGGCCTCCTCTGGCCCTATCAGTTAGTGGACTTTCCCGCCCCTTCCGCCTCTGTTCCTCGCTCCCCGAGAGGCCAGCTTTCAGATGAGGGCTGAGATTACTAAATCAGGGGGAGCAACCGGCCTTCCACGCTTGGGCAAATTGTATTGGATCTCTTAAGTTCAAGTCATTATACTTAATGGACTTTTTGTCTTGTTCAATATGACTTGTTCTCTGATAGACGTGGTGTGTAAAAAACCTGGAGAGCAATCTTTAGGGTGCTAATTCAGAGTCCCCAAATTGCAGTAATTTAGGCTTTATTTTTCTTTGGTTTTGTTGAGACAGGGCTTCTCTTCTGCATCCCCCTCACACGTTTAGCCCAGGCTGTCCTCGACTCGAACTCAAGACAATCTTGCTGCTCTGCAATGCCCTTCCTGACTTTGTGTTAGAGACTGTTTGCAAAGCCTGGGGCGGATAGGGGAGTTGAATACCAGTCTTCCCTCCTTTCTCCTCTTGCCTCGAGGATGGAATCCCCTACTCACCTCCTTGTTACAGAGCTCTGCTATAGAATGACGTCTCAGTTCTGTGTGAACTAAGCATGTAATCGTTGAGCACTGCTCAAGGCATTAGAGACAACAACATGAATTGGACAGGGAGAAAATTGATCCTTTTAGAGCTTAAATTTTAGTGGAAAGAGACACGCAAACTACCAAGTATAGTATGTCTAAGTAAAAGAGGGCTGAAGGCCAGTGGGGGCTGGGAGCTGTAGTTTCCCAGTAGTTTCACTGGGAAGGAAGTGACAGATCACCTGGTGGCTACTCCAGAAAAAAGAAAGTGCAAAAGCTTGCAGGAGGCTGCCTGTAGTTATGAGCTACCCAGAAGAGTCACTAAGGCAGAGAAAATAAGGCTGCTGGTGGAGATCAGAGATTTTGTGCAGGATTTGTTGATTGTTCTGGAAACTGCTGGAGACTTGTAAGGGGAACGACTTTATTAGAAGAATCCTTAAAGCCTGGCAGTGGTGGCAGAGGCAGGGGGATCTCTGTGAGTTTGAAGCCAGCCTGGTCTATAGAGCGAGTTCCAGGACTGCCAGAGCTACACAGAGAAACCCTTTTTCAACAACAAAACAAAAAACAAATCAAACAAACAAACAAACAAACCAAAAAAAAAAAACCACACAAGGCTGGGTGGTGGTGGCTCACGCCTTTAATCCCAGCACTCGGGAGGCAGAGGCAGGTGGATCTATGTGAGTTCGAGGCCAGGCTGGACCGACAGCCTCCAAAACAATACAGAGAAACCCTGTCTCGAAAAACCAAAAAACAAACAAACAAACAAACTTAGAATTTGTAAGATATATACATATATATATAATTTTCCAACTCAATATTTGAAGTACAATTCAGTGATATTAACTACATCCTTCATGTGCAAATATCACCACTATTTGCTTCTAAAACATATTTTTTGTTGTTGCTTTGGGTTCTTGTTTGCATGTTTTTGGGTGCTAGGCATTGCTCACACTAAATATCTTCTACTGAGCCACACCCTAGCCCTATTTCTAGAACTTTGTCTTCATCCTAAGCAGAAACTCTGAAACTATGGAGCAATAACTTATTGCCTCCTCTTCCCAGGCCCCAATAATTTGTAATATATCTTATGAATCTACCCATTTCAGATAGTTCATCTAAGTAGAGCCATAAATATTCGTCCTTTTCATTTCTGACAGATGAGGTTCAGTGTGTTTTCAAAGTCCATCGATGCTGTGGTTTATAACCCAGCTTAATTCCCATTTTAAGGGTGAATTATGTTTCATCTTGTATATAAGAGTGAATTATATTTCATCATGTATATGAACCATATGTTGCTTGTCCTTTAAACTATTAATAGATAGGTTGTTTCCTCATGTTTTTTAATCCATACTCTCTTTTTAATTTTATTTTAATTTTTTAGGTTTAGCTCTTTTATTCCAGTTCGTATTTCATTTGAATTAAGGGTTCATCTTCACTCTTTTACATTTGGAAATGCAGCTTGTGAACAAAGCTTTTTTTTATTTAAACTTGCTTGGTTAAATGTATTTCTAGGTATTTTACTATTTTAAATGATGCTGTAAATGGCATTGCTTTTTTTTTCTTTTAGATTATTCAGTTTGGTGTATGAGAACAGCAGATATTTTTGGGTTGATCTTGAACTCTGTTGATTTTTTTTTTTTTGATTAGGTCTAGTAGCTTTCTAGTCAGTTCCCTAGGGTTTTCATGTATAGGATTTTGCTATCTGTTAAGATAGGTATAGCTTTACTTTTTCCTAGTTTAGATGTTCTATTAGCTGTGGTTCTTCAGAGCAGTGGTTTTTCCCCCTTCTTCATGCTGTGACCCCTTAACACAGTTCCTCATGTTGTCGTGACTCCAACCATAACATTATTTTAGTAGCTGTAATTTTGCTGCTGTTATGAATTTTAGTGTAACTGTCTGATATGCAGATGTTCTTATGTTACCTCTGTGAAACGGTCGTTTGGCCCCCGAAGGGGTCATGACCCACGGTTGAGAACCACTGGGGAAGGAGATATAAGGAGAGAGGAATGTTATCAAATGTCCTCAGAGGTAGGGAGGATAGCAAATAGGTAAAGGAAAAACTGTAGATGGCCAGAAGTACAGATGACTCCCTTAGAGTCGGAGATTTAAAGGGAAGACCAGTCTATCTGAGTGGTTTTTCTTTTCCCCACCCGATACATGCATGTAGGGAAAAGTGGTGGAAGAAACTTCCTTTCATTTAGTTAGGGTTAGTTTTTCAGGGGAAGGGCACTGAAGCTAAGGGCGCATGCAGGAAAACAGTTCAGTGGTAGAGCATATGGCTAGCATGCAGAAAGCCATAGGATTGATGCCTAGCGCAATATAAAACATATGGCTACAGGGTATTAATGACTAAATATTTTTATTGACAAGAATACTTTCAGTGGAAAAACCAGAGTCAAACTGACTTCAGCCATAGCTTCCATAGCCTCTTATAAGCTGCTTCCTGAAGCAGGGTGGCCTGGAAACATTTGGACTATCTCTGGCCTTGCTTCGTTGTCTGCTATGAAGCCATTTTCATGGTGGTCACCTTTATGGTTGAAAGATGCATCTTGAGTCAATCTTGAATATACAGTTCTTCCTTCGCATCTAACCAAATGTAAAAGTGTCCTTTCTCTTAGTGTGGAAGTAGAATCCTAAGTATTGTTGCTGCTTGACTCCCTTGGAGCTAGTAATTATAGCCAGATGATGGTGGACTAGAGAACCAAGACCTGGGTTGTATTTTCTTATCCCCAGATGATTGCTATGAGTAATTCCTGTTGGCCTTAATTAGGTTTTACTTCTGTTACTGCTGATGAGGTCAGTTCTAAACAGCTAGTTTTAGTACTAGTGCATTTATGTTAGGGAAAGTTAAGTTTAGGAGAGTAGAATGTTATTAAAATGTATTGTAAACAGTGGGCCTCTTCCCTTCTTTCTTAGTATGTACAGACACATGTATGTATTGACTTTTTGTGATGTTGCAGATTGAATCCAGACCCCATGTAAGCTAGGTACTCCGTGGCTCGTAGAGTGATATCCCTGCTTCCCAGTGTTGAGATCACTAGTCTTTTTCCTCCTTTCATTCTTTTCATTTATTTAAAAAAATCTAAAACTTTATATTTGTTCTTGGGATGCCAATTTGAAAAGATATAAAGCAGTATTTATTATTTATTCTCAGATTTATATTATTGCTGGCTTGTATGAAAGATGTAGGTAAGGGGTTGGTGTGGGAGAAGGAAAGAAAAGACGTGTGAGAAAATATCATGCCTGATAAGAAACAAATTACAGAGTGTTGAAACAGGTTCACATGTGTGACCCTCAGTCTCATTCTGTCCTCTGTAAGGGTACCTGGTGACTAATACAGATTCTCCTCGTGTATTCTTTGCCTTTGTGTATATAGTCAGACTGCTGTGTCTGTGATTACATTTGCATATTTCATTGACTATTCAGAAGTATCAGGTGTGTGTGTGTGCGCGTGTGCCTGTACTGAATTGTAGGTGGAGTTTTCTGTCTTGCCAGCTTGCTCCTCAATAACTACACAGAGACTGAATATTAATTATAAATGCTTGGCCGATGCATCAGGCTTGTTTTTAGCTAGCTCTTAGAACTTAAATTAACCCATTTCTATTAATCTATATGCTGCCCTGTGGCTCATTTACCTTATGTTTGTACTTCCCATCCTGCTCCCTCTGCATCTCCTGGAGTCTCCTGAGACTCCTCCTGCTTCTTCTTCCCAGCATTCACTCAGTCTGGGTCTCCTGCCTAACCTTATCCTGCCTCGCTATAAGCCATTCAGCTTCTTTATTAAACTAGTCATAGTGACGTCTCTTCACACAGTGAAAAGGATCACAATGGATCCCTTTGTCTTTCTCATTATTTCCTACAACTATTTTATTTTTATGTGGGAGCCCATGCTCTGCTCACACCCTTTATTGACTGGCGTATTGCCCAGTCCCTTTGTTCTTCTTGAGACAGGGTCTCACTCTCTATCCCCGGCTGCCTTGGAACTCACTGTGTTGCCCAAGCTGGCCTTGACTAGTGACAGTTATCCTGCCTCAGCCTCCCCAGTGTCTGGATTACAGGAATGAGCTGCATGCTGGGCAGGAATTGTGCTATTAAGATGATACTTGAAGTCCAAAAGGAGTCTGGGACTAATTAACAGTTCACTGATATGGCTTTCTTCCCATCTCTGCTACCTTCTGTATGCTGGCTTTATTTCCTGGCTTTCCCCGAATGGAGGCTTCATTCATGGCAGCAAAGTGGCTGTAGAAGGCCTGAGCTTTACATTCTCAAACAGAAGTCATTGAGTTAGGTCAT